TACAAACATAATAACTTAATTTAAATATGATGCGGAATATGTGGAGATTCATTCACTAATAACCTAAAAATAGTTAATTAAATATTTATTCAATATGAAACAAAATAATGTTGAAAAAAAAACAATAAATCAAGGTTATTGTTAATTTAATTTAAAAAAAAACGAAACGTTTAACTGTGAGATTTTTTGAACTCGCTTTTTATGCAATTCAAATGCATTAATTTGCATTAATCAAATTAATAGTTTTAAGCTTCTTTTACACTATATGAGCATGAAAAATTCCTTTCATAGTCTGCAATAAAATCCTAATCGTTTTTATAAAATTAGCAGACCTAAGCTTAAGAGATTATATTAAAATTTCTAGATTTGATATATTTATGATTAATTAAATTTTTTTCTACTAACGAGTGAAACGGAGTTTGTCGAAAGATCATTAATTAACTTAATTTGAGGACTAACAAGATATTTCGTAAAGGTTTCTTGTATTTTTATACATAATTTGTGAATTAACATAAATTGGTAGTAGTATCTTTTACAAATGGCAAAAGTAACACAGTTTAGCTACTTAAATAGTTAAGAGGCGTGTATAATCGAACTAAGTACTCATTTAAGCCATTTTTACTTTATTTATTGTACTAATTTTATTATTACTTTATTAGTTGTAGTTATTATTTAATATTTTATACATAATAATAAATCTTATTCCGCTAAATTATTTAGTTAATTACTTTAGAGTACTTAAGCCAATTTGTAATAGTATAGCAATAGTTAGTATTACTTATGTTATTCATTTTTTTTAAGTCTAGATATATTTCATTATTTATTTTATTACTTTTTTATCTCTTTTAAAGTAAAAATTAACATGCATGTGTGTTTTGCGAAAATATTACATACAATTATACTCAAATCTTTTAAAAAAAGGTATGTTAAATTAAATGCTACCTGTATTATCTTACCTGTGTTATTATCTGAAAAAAATAAATATCGAAGCTCGTTACTCCTAATTATGAATATCCCTTAACACTAACCATTGCTTGGAAATGTTTATACACAATCTAGCTGACTGTGAACGCCGAGAAGTGACAATTGATGAAACATTACTTACACCATTATTACAACAAGTCAGAGAAGGGATAGAGCTAATGAATAGACATAATTATTTCTATTTATTGACATAATGAATTTGTCTATTCATTATTAATGAATCGTGGCATGACAAAATGATATAAAATAAAAACATATTTTATCCAGTATTTTATCTGAAACGCGCGTTCCAAAGCTAGTTTCTGGCTGCGGGCCTGATTTTGAATTTAACAATAATGGCAACTGCTATTTTCAGTAAGAACAAAATAAAAGATGTATATAGACCATTATATAATTTGTAATCCATAGTAGAGTCTATCAATAGCAGCCTAATTTTTACTTTTATATTCAGACGAAAACTTAAAACATTTATGCATTATCTTCTTTCGACAGCATCTACTATTTGGTTCCTGATATGTTAGAATAGCTACAAAGCTAAAAACTGTTTATTAAAAAAAAAATTTTATATATTCAACAGAGTATATATAAAGTATTATATAATAAAAGAGTTATTGAATAAATAAATTAAATATAAGTTAAATCCACTTGATCGAAAACATACCCATATAACTATGTAGTTAATCTGAGAAATGTTGATTAAACATTTTTAAAGACACACCAAAGACAATTTTATAAAATTTCTTCTACTCCTTCTCTTTTTGTTCATCCGACTTATGGTAATTAAGTATTCAGCTGTGGTTTAAATCAAACCTTACCACAACTTAATTAAAGTTAATAAATATCACATGTAAAATAGTTGTGTGGACCACAACTTAATGAAGGTAAATATTCACTTTTTAAAAAATGTGATAAAATATCATTAAGTGAAGACGATGATATTGAACTTATTCTTAATTGATTGGTAATGTTTTTAAACTTTTATACTGATTAGATATAACAAACATATTTATTTATTATTTATATTTATTATAAATAATAATTTATTATAATATTTATTTATAGATTTATTTATGGAATAGCTATATAATTTGTTTTGAATTTTTTATCCAATCGGTAAATTTTTTTATTTTCACGCTGGCAACACTATTATACACATTCTGTCAAAGTTTAACGCATATCGTTCGATTAGATTTTTTTTGGCGTCTATACCAAGAAGTCGAAAAATTTTCGTGTGGCGATTTTTACCTTATGGCCTCTATGGTCTCAAAACGAGTAGAGTTCAAAGAGTTCTTTTTTTCACAAGGTATGATCTATAATATCTATCTCCGAAGATATTACTGTATCTTGTTAAGAACGTTTATATGCTCAGTCGCTTTCGAATATTTAAAAGTTGAGAAGTGTTTAGTTCTCTCAATATATCAAATACTTGGATTGAAACCATATTAAATTAAAAAGTTTATATAGTTTCTTAATATCTTTTTATTTTCATCACTTTTCAATAATTTTCTAAAATTTAAGAAATTTTCCTTTTACTCGCATTTTAACTTATTTTGTTATAACAAAGTTATAGTATATTGATATAACTCATCAATATAATCATAAAAAAAAATTATGATTTTTATGGAGATGTGCACGAATTAAGTAATTATTTTTATTACTGTAAATAAATCTATAGCAAAAAAAAAATTTATTTTAAATCGTTACCCTATAATTTTATCAATTAATTTATGGCACTCGTGCGATTATTTTATTAACCCAATTTCTCTTTGAAGTGTCCTTCACTTCGCATCGACATCATAGATGGCTAAACTGAACTGAACTGAACCTTTCACCAAAATGCATAAATAAATATTTATGAATTTAGACATATTTTATTTGTATTAGTTAATTTTTGCAAAAATGATTTTATTAGTTTATGTAATTTCAGTTATGTTAAATTTCACAAAATAAAATTTATAATAAAAATTGGCATATCAAAAATTAGGTGACAAAAAGATAGGTTTCAGGGTTAATCTTAATATTCCAAATTGGACCCGAAAGCAAAACTAATAATTAACCGTTTAATAGTTCCAGATATTTGCAATAAAAAAAAACAATAAAAATCTCATAGTAACTTAATAGTTTTATTAGTAAATGAAACTTTTGTTCGAAAATTTACAATATCGTGTGAATAAAAATATAATGACTGTTTGTTTGTCATTAACAACATAACTGTTTTACATATCTCTATATGTTTATAAAAATGGTTATAGTTTTAGAGTATTTTTTTGTTTCTTTGCTTATGTATGCAGAAACTATCCAATAGATTTTGATGAAATTTTTATGAAATATTATTATAACGAGAGAGTAGAGACATAAACAACGTTCAGACTAGTTTAGTATCGATCAGTCTGGCAAAGAATACAAAAATGATTTGTTTATTTACATAATAAATTAAATTAAATAAAAACGTTTTTAAATCAATTTTTATAATTGACATTTTCTTGTTACAAACAAGACTTCACTGAAAGGCAAACTAAAGAAGTACTCTGATAAAATTTATAAAGGCAAATAAAAGACAAATTCAAAATAACAAACAACGTAATGAACATTAAGCAACAGACGCAATGAAGGAAATGCCAGTACACCACAGTAAACAGGCTAAAATTGATAAGACAAGACATATTGTAAGTGAAAAATTTAAACAACCTGGTATAACCTTCAAAACGAATATGAAAATTCAGAATATTTGAAACTATTGCTGGAGTAAGTAATAAAAAAAAATAAATTAGTAGAATTCTTAAATATAGTGTTACAATCATTAGAGTACTTCCAACACATTACATTTGTTGAACCATAACTTTGTATTTGGAATATATCGACACCTATTGCAAAGAAAAATGCTTTATTGACACTTCGGACAGTTATAAGATATAAGAACAATAGATTCTCAGCTATCATCAACTTGAAATCTGTAGAAAAAATGAACACTTTCCCGTAAATAGTTCCGTGATAAATACTTAATTGAAATACAGTATTAAGTACAAATTAATTAAATGATGTCAATAAATAAAAATTAGAATTAATTAATTCAATTATTCTACAGCTGGTTTATGATTTCGTTCTAATATAAACAAAGCAAGTGAATTTATTAATAAAACTTTTACAGCGAAGTAATAAAACTTCAGAAAAACGTGCGAACATAAATGTCAAATACGGCTTTGGGCCAGTTGGTTAAGGTGCACTGACTCTGAGCTTCAAAATTGAGAGGACATGTATTCGATTCCTGGTACTAACAGTCTCAAAAAATTATTTACAATTAATTAAATACAAGAACTATTTCCAAGACCACTGATGATGAGTATTTGGCAATACTTGAAACAGCAGTATGGACAGCCAAAAATTCAATAAATCAAAATAATATAAAATGAATTTTTGTTGTTGTAGTTCACTACTGTTCGAAAAACCTCTTTATTAAATTATAAGAAAAGAAAAGTCAATTGATCTGTAAGTCCTTCTTACCAAAGTATTTATATTCGTTGCCTTTGATACAGGTTGAACTCTATCGTGATGTACGCTTCTCCTGGCCTATCCTTCCCTTACTTCCTTTTTATTACCTTTGTAAGCCCTATCTAAAATTTTATATTTTTTCCTTTTTCCTTTAGCATTGAAGACATTTTCAATGTCAGAATTATTTTAATTGTTGAGGTTTTTCAACTGAATCTCATTTCTTGAACAAAATACTTCGACCATATCATATAAATGGAAATTTAAAAACAAAATTGAAAAATCAATAATTGTCTAAAAAAATCTTTTTATTTATAAATTATCAGTAAATAAAATTTATTTCTGGAAAATAAACTTCTTTTATTTTTTAAAATTACAACAATTTTATTACAAAATTAAAACAAAAATTAACCGAAAACTTTAACAATTTTTACACATAAAAACAATTTCTTCGTATTTACAATATTTACACTTAATGTACATATGTTTCAGATCATGAAACTTTTATATAAAGTTGATTTTTAAATGGCTTAAGCCCAGCCACCTGATGGTTGCCAGCCACCGCCGCCACCACCACCACCACCGCCTCCTCCTCCTAATTTAATAATTTTAATAATTTTGGTGTCACCTCCTCCGCCACCACCAGACCAACCGCCGCCTCCACCACCACCAGACCAACCACCGCCTCCACCACCAGATGACCAACCTCCACCTCCTCCACCGGATGACCAGCCTCCACCACCACCACCACTATCTCCCAAGCTTATAACTTTGATGATTTTGATGTCGCCTCCACCGCCACCACCACCACCAGACCAGCCACCACCTCCACCACCAGAAGACCATCCACCGCCTCCGCCACCTGAATCCCAACCACCACCGCCGCCACCGCCATTTTCAGTGATTACTTTAATAACTTGTACGCTTTTTCCACCGCCGCCACCAGATGACCAGCCACCGCCACCACCACCACCGCCTCCAGATGACCAGCCTCCACCAGGTTTAGGCTTAGCAGTTACGCTGGCAACACCAATAATTAGCAAGCACACAAATGCCTGTAAAATACACAAAGAATTAATCATTTAAAGATATAGAAACACATTTTTTTTAATTTTTACGTTATATAAATTATTTAACTAAATCTTATAATAAATATTTATATATATAAATTTCATTATATTTATGTTTTATGTTATTTATATTTGTTTTATTAATTATATATAAATAAAATTCAAAAAATAAATTTGTTTTATATTAATATCCATTTTATCATTTTTACATTTTATTAATTTATTTTTATATTTATATATTAAACTTTATATATTATATTTATATTCCTACATTATACATTATTATGTTTTTATGAGAACGAACAATGATACATTATGACCTATGATGTCATTACTATGCTATCCATTGAGAGTCTTCTAAGCCTGACAAGGTTATAAAATTCATATGAAGATACTAGTCTCGTTCTCAAGCAATCAAAGGGCACGAGCAGATACAATGTTCTTTAATCCCACATTTAAAAGAAGGTAATTAACAGTAATAGTTTAAATCTATACATACTAAGAAATTTATAAACTTTTTCATACCCTCTCTCATCAATTAAATAATGCAAAATAGAAAATTAAATTTGCTTACTTAATATATGAAATTATTTTTTTTATTACATATATAAGTATGTAATAAAACATATAACATACATTTAAGTATAAATTAGAAGGTTAGATTTAATCTGAAGTCTTTTATGAAGTCTGTTTAAACTTCGATAAGGTAAAAGGAATTCTCTTTAAAAGAGACTCTCTTTAACCTTCGATAAAGTAAAAGAAACTTTGGAAAGTTTGTCTTGATTAACTTAAGAAGACGAATTCATTTTGTGATGTCTGACTGTTCAGGTCTCAATGTATGCATCTATTTTTTATCAATTTATTTGTTAATATAATTAGTAGTTCCTGAACTTATAAAAAGTGCAAAAGGACTACCATAACGACTTTTATAATACGTATTAAACGATAGTAAATAGTAGTCGAACATAATTGTACATATCATATAAAATAAAATTTTTTCAAAGATTTGACCAAATATGTGTTATAATAAAATACATTTCTATAGAATTTATAGATGTTTTTAAAAGTTTTATTACTATTAATTTTATATTATTATTTATTTAAAATAGTGTAACTTGCCAATTATGTTAGGTCACATTACTGTTTAAGGAGTTTAACAAACTCCTTACAAACAAAATATTACTAATGGTATTGGAATTTCTTAGTGGGAGTTATTAATATGATATGACAAATTTTTAGTTCAAAATTCAAGATTATATTAATAGTATGTACTTAATGTTTTTTAGTTCTGATATAACTGGAAGTATTTATTTATATGATATCTATTTTGTAAATTAAAAAACCTTTTTCTTATATATACATACTTTCAAATATATATTATTCAAAATGGATAGAAATATTTATATTATTGAAATTCAATATATAAAAAACTATGAACAAATCAAATCATAATGTAATTATTAATGGTTTTTAAAGAAATAAATACACTATTAAAAAGACGTGAACTCCAATTCAATTTTTTGTATATTATTAAGTTTAAATATTAATAATATATTTTTCATGTGAAAATTACAAATAGAAGAACAAGAAAATTTAAAAACATTTTTTTGCCTAAGTGTATATAATATATAGACTTAACCATTTTATATATAATAATTTTAAAAATTGAACTAATAATAAATTGAAATATTTAATATTTTATTTTTAAAATTTTAAAAAAATTCTTATAAAACTCGTGTATCTAAGAATAGCCAGCTATTGGTATCTACGATTATTTTAGTTTTATAAATTAGTGTTTTCAGATTGCTATATATTTTACTTAAATGTATTATATTTTATATTCTTTATTTATAAATAAATATTATCAGTGGCACTGGGGCATCATATTATTAAGCTAAACCTTTGAGTGTAACGACTTCTGTGAAATAATAACTGATCCCATTTGATATCTATGATTTACATATAATTTTGCAGTCGACTAACATTTAGTTAACTAAAAAACTATTTCAACAATAATAAATCAATATGGATATAGAACTTCAAAGGATTTTATGAGCTCCTTTTTATATTAAAAACCACATTAATTTTTTTTTATATATTATATATATTACAACTTCTGTCACGAGTTACATATAAAGTCACAGTTTTTTATCATCATTACGTTTATATTTGAATTTATATGTATTATTCACATTTTTATTATTTCAATTGTAAAGTTTTATTGATTTTTAAGTTCTTTATATGAGAACAATATATAAATATTTATCTATATTTCTTTGCATATATATTATTATAATCACTTGATTACTAAAACTAAAAAACTAATGCAAAAATATTTAACTTCACTTATATTCACATACTTTCATTTTTAGTCAGGATTACTTATATTGGACTCCTACTAAAAATGTGTAAAATCCGTAGATACTTTACAAAACCAAGCAAACGAACTTATTGTACTGACGATCTATTGTGTCTCTGCCAATTCTTTTATACGAAATATCGATGTTGGAAAATGCCACTTGTTTCGTGCACATCCAAACACACGCTTACATTTTCCCATTGGCATCACAACCGGAAAACTGTTTTTCTGTTTTAGCTACAACATTTGGTCAAAGAAAAGAAAATTAAAAGAAAAACTCATCTCTTGTGTTGAGCGATTGTTACACAATATTTACCATAAAAGTCATCATACCCTACAGTGATAGGTGATTCTCTCATCTTTTTTTTTTTTTGTTGTCTAAATGGTCCATTAAGTCTAGTACGAGTGCTGCGGTTTTGTATGCACGTCAATGCATTTGGATTTTAGGAGAGGAGCTTCTTTGCATTTATTTTTTTTTTTAATTCAAAGTTACGATAAACGCGCGAAAATGAAAGTGCATTTTCCATAGGATGCACAGTCATCTCACAATCAAAATTAATTATTTGTGTTTTTGTGAGATTGTCATACATAACACAAAAAAAAAAAATAAATTATAGTCTCGAAATTGTGTAATATTATATGCTACTTCAGACTTTATTGACTTTTGTCTGAAATTGAGTCAGTAACGTGCAAATCAGTTTTAAATTTAAGTCATTTAAGGACTGTCGAATTATTGTATTATATAAAACTATTGCAAAAAAAAAATCTCAGTAAAGAAAATTTATCAATTAGCATATAAATACAGTACATAATATAAGACTATAAGTACTAATTTAAAAATAATTCCAAATTATTATTCCCAATTATAATTATTAATTTTCGAATTATTTCTATTAAATTTATATCCCTACAAAGAAGACAAATAAATCTCTTACACAGAAACAAAAAAAAAAAATTATCGAATAGTTCACTTTTATTATAATTTTATAAAATAAATTTTAAAAAAATAATTGTATGGTTTTTTTTTGTATAAATTTGCCCACTTCCTTCCTTATTATACCTTAAATTACTTCAAAACCTATAAATCAATTTATTTACAAAATTAAAGACAATTCTTGGAGTCCTAAAAAGAGATATTAAATTAAATTAGTATTTTCCGGTAATTTATTAGATAACATAGTATTATATAATATCAAAAATGCACATTAAGACTTATGCTTATTTTTACTATTATATATTATATCAAATTTATTTCTAACAATAAAAATAGGTATATTTCTAAAAAAAATTTAGTTGAATTTTATTTAAAATATTTTATTTTATGTAATAATAATTAATATTTTATTTTTAAATAATAAATTAATATTTCATTCATAATTCGTTGGCCATAAATTTTATGAATTTTATTAAAACTAAATACCAATAAAAAACATTAAGACTTACATATTTATGTGCATATCGCCATAATACATTTATAGATAAAATTTATAGATAAAATTTTGTTTATAATTCGTTCGCCATAAATTTTTCAAATTTTAATAAAACTCAATATCAATAATAAATATTAATATATACATATTTATATACATATAGCCCCAACGAGGCCCTATGCCCCACTAGAGGAAGTGAACAATAATGATAGTAGCTCTAATACAATATTTTATCGTAAATTATTTTATCATAAATTACTAAAAGATATTAAAAGTCTAGAAAATATTCATAATAATAATAAACTATATATACAGCCAATTCATAGATTTATAAATTTAAAGTAAACATAGTGCTGCATTTTTAATCCTTATACTGTGTATGTCATCTAGCCTCATTGGAATTGTCTACTACACAGATTGCTTTAGCATTTGTATATATATATCTCTCAACAAGTGTAATGATCTCTTTCTTGATGTATGAGGTTTGTAGTGTTATATAATAATAATTATTTGTATAGTTCGTTAATCTATATTCAAGTCGCTGATATTGATTTATTAGCGATAAACCAGAGGACGTTAAAAATTTGAAAGAAATGAAACATAAAGCATCTTCAAACTTTAAATGTGTACAATCCCATTATTCGAATTATAGTCTACTCCAGCCACTCAAACGCTATGAATCACTAATACTATGAGCTAAGATAGGTAATAAATGCTTAGGAGAATGGACAAAGGTGGGTATACTTCGTAATGGATGTGAAGCGTAGCGTATTAAGTGAGGCAATATATAACCTGCCTGACGTGTATGCTTTAATTATTCATTAAATGAAAATTGATTACTTTATAACTTTTCTAATCATTTTTTAATGAGGAACACATTGATCTGCATATATTACTAATGTGTAAATAATATTATTGTATAGCATAATATTTTTGAACTTAATATTAAACTCTGTATAGTTATTACGATATTAATAAACTTCATTTTTTTTAGCAGAGTTAGTAACTTTACTTAAACTGTGAATTGTTTTATGCAACCTGTTTCGTAGCCTAGATATTTAATTTTTTTACTTACTCAAATTCATATCAAATATAAATTTTAACCAGTCTTTACTTAGGCCGTGTGAAAGTTCGAGTGATTTGATGGTTAATTGAGGGAAATAGTAAATTATGTCGATATGGCAGCGAATATTGGTATTTACGAGAATTTCGAGTAGGGTAAATTATATAAAAATTAGGTAAATTAATAAATTTTTAATAAATAAATTTGAAAACTTTCAACCAAAAATAATGAATAAGTGCAATAAATAAAAAAATAAATATTTACATAAGTGCAGTGCAAAAAATCCTTAGGAAATTTCAAAAAAAAATCCTTACTTTACCTCAATTTAATCGAACTCTCTCACGGCCACTATTTTAAATACTGATTATTTAAATTAAATTAAATTTTTTATGTTATTATGAGTAGGTGTTAAATATTTTTAACTGCATATAATATATACGAATAAGTAAATCCTCTTTTCGTGTCTTCTAAAATCTATAAAAGTCAAAAGGTTAAAAACCGATGCATGTACATACAGCTAAGATCTTGGCTGCATAAATCTGATGTCTTCAATAAATATTTTTTTATCTTACACATATACCAGTTTTCAAATATATGTATATTACTTTTGCTCTAAAGAAATGTTCAATTAAAAATATTCAATTTTGTAAAATATAATTTTTATGTTTAACAAAATAATATTTTGTTATTAACACATAAAATGTTTATCAAGCCCTTATGATTAGTAAAAATACAATACAATATTTTAAGGAAAATTCCGAAAATTCCGAAAATGTTAATTCATCATTATGCTTGCCTAATGAAATTAATCATTAGACTATTTTTTGGTTAGCAAACTATTTAAATGTTAATTTATTGCAAGAAAACTTTACTGCAAACATCATTAAGTGAGTCTTCCATCGATTCCAAGATCATTTTTCCGCAGACATTTGTGATCGTGTACAACATAATTACATCAGTGAAGCGAATATTTAATGTTGATTTTTTTTTTTTGTATTATATATTAAATTTTGCATACTTAGCCATTTCGTGTAGGAAACAAAGATTTTAATATGAAATTTGATTTTTCACACACATTAAAAATTATAAATAATTTTTATGCTTTAAAAAGGCCTTATGCCGACGACGTCCATTGCTCAGAAACTGGATTTAGTGTAAACAATACTGCATCTGCCGCAGATGCACCATGTGCAGAAGCAGTTTGTTGAATTTCGGGTTAAAACAATCGAAACAATCGATATTTAAAAACGTCTAAAAGACCGTCTAACTTTCCGATTAAGTAGGAAGCTTGTTACCAGTTTTTTTTATAGCTATGGCTTTTCATATTTATATATTCGCAGAAGATTAGGACAGCGGGTCAAAATAAACAACTGTTGATGTATTCAATGGTGGATTTAACTACTCGAATATAAAAATACTTTTTTAAGTACTTTTTTATATTGTATTAGGCTATTAAATTTTAGATTAAATAAAATATTGTTTTAGTGCTTCATTAAATTTTATTATATAAGATGATTTATACTATATATAATTATAATGAAAAGAAATTATGTGAACAAATTATATATTTTAGTGAAAGCCGAAATAAAAATAATACCGAAATAGCTCATTATAAAAAATTTAAGGATTTAAATAAAAAAATAACAATATTTTTATTATTTTTATTATTATTATACAATATTAATCATATTATTTATTATTTATATGTGTGCAAAAGATTTTAAATTTTTCGGATAGAGTTGCAATAAATTGTAGATATCTCAATGATAACTTATAACAATGTTATGCTTACACCTATCAATGTGAATATGGCAAACTATCTGACTGAAAAGAGCAGCTCAGACTGATTGGGATAATACTTTCCATGTCGTATCGATCAAAAGCATCAGAACTAGGGCGCTACTTATGCTGAACAGAAGTGGCATCCAACTTGTCATAGGGTTTCTCACTCAGCATTGCGAAATTAAAAAGCATCTGTGGAACCTAGCTATTACTAGAGACGATAGCTGCAGTCTTTGTTGCGAAGAAGATGAAACAGCAAAACTCATTTTGTGTCACTATGAGAGTCTCGTCAGACTCAGACTTCGGTATTTATCCACTGCCTATCCACTTATAACGAATTTAGGCAACATCTCTCCAAAGGACATAACGACGTTTTTAACTGCTATTTGTCTATGAAACTAAAGTGGGTATGTCACAATAATCCTCAAAAGATACAGTGACGTGGTAACAAGTTCCCAACCCGTTTTAAAATCTAATCTAATCTAATCTATTGAACTTGCAGTTTAAACAAATTACATGCGGACTATAAGCTAATTTAAAAAAATTCGGATATTTCTTAAGATCACATTTTAATAAATTAACTCAAATTTTTGTTGTTGTTTTTTTCATTTCTATTCGAACCATTCTAATTTTTAAAAAGTTTCTTCTCGTCATAAAAAGCGTCAGTTTCGACGAGACAAAATTAAATTTTTTTTATTTGCCTTATACAAAAATGTTAAACACACCACTGTTTACATATTCTATTTTTATTTAACAAAAAATTAAAATAAAATATTTTTTTAGATACTACATTGTTTGAAAAACTT